AACTTACTAAATATTTTTGAATACTATTTTTATTTTTTTATTCTTTGACGTTGTAAACATTTATAAATGTTTATTTCAAACAATAAGACTGACAATGTAATTTGTATACTTGTTTTATATTCTCTTTTGTTTGTTTACTTGTTTTGTTACTTTGTTTGTATTTTATGTACTTTACCTTTGTCTACAAATTGTAAAATTTTTTGACAATAAAGGCATTTATTTATATTTTACACGCACACTTTTCTGAGCCACCCTATGAAGTTAAAATATTTTCCTGGAATACATCCTTGTACATAGTCTAGGTTTGCACTTAAACATAATTCTCAATTTTTTTATCCTAGGAGCTACAGAACTAGTAGTTAGAGTTCATTTTTTTCTAAAATGTAAAATAAAAAAATAAAAAGTAAAAATTTTATACTAAACTTTGCCTATGTTACTCCATCTGTTAGTTTCCACGAATATTACATTAATTTCTAGAAATAAGCGGGATGTAATATTTTAGTTTCATTTTCATCTCATTAAATAACATAATGCCTGTAAATACCTGTAAATTGCAATATAAGAGAAAGCTCTTGGGAAAGGGGTTTAAATTTATTTGGAACACTAATTTGTGTAAAAAGGCATCTGGTAGCAAACTTATAATTGCTATTCAATGAAAAAAAAATATAAATGACAAAAAATAATATTATATTGTCGTAATAACCATATGTGTAATTATGTTGGATAATACGTCTTGTTTTTTGACCTTGCAAAACAATATTTCTTTGTATAGTTTCCAATAAAGTGTATTAGGTTATTTTTTGCGATAATTTATGTATATTTGAAGGTTTACCACTGGTTGTTATAAAAGGGGGATTATGTTGTCATGCAGTCAACGTGGTTCTTCAGAATGTTTACCTTTTTGTCATGGGTAGTAACAGAATGTAGGTACTTATTATAAGTACTGTCTGTACCTTAGTGGCGTCGCTCATTACTGGAACAGCTGGTGAATATGAACGACATTTTTTTTTTATTTTTCTGCTTCATTGAGAATATACCCAGCTGTTTTAGTACCAGAAGTTATCTCAGGCTTATTAGGTATCTTGTTTTTCCTTCTTTATAAAACGAACATAAAAGAAACCTGTAGAATATATGATTTTTTACACCATCCTCTTAATAACAATTTTTAGGGTGTAAATTAGATACTTATCTAAGATACATACCCATTTATTATTCGCGAAATCATTTTTTCGAATATAGAGGCTGATTTACACGTATAAAATAGCTGGCTCCAGTTTTCCTGCTACGCCGCGCCAGCACTAGCATGTGGTAGTGGCACTGAGGCGAAAAAGTGTTTACTTTGCCAGGATTGGCTAACCAGTTAAACTGACTCCAGCTACCGGATGCGTGGAAATAGAGAAAATATTTTATTTCAGAGTATCTATTTACATGACATTTCGACTTGTATGTTCCAAGTACTGATCTACGAAATATATTTGATTTTTAAAGATTCTCGTATGTTTACAGTGTGCTTTTTGTAACTTTTCATAGATAATATAACTGAGAATATTTTACACAGAACTCTAGAAGAAAATCATAATCATCATAATAGATTTGTCATATTGTGACATAACTTGTGATTGTTATGTTTGTTTGGTCGTGTTTTTGCCAAATTTAATATTTTTGTATCTCTCATAACTAAAGAACGAATTCGTATTAACCATTCAAAATGAATAATTGGCCAATAAATATTTCTGTAAAATAAAATAGGGAAAACTTTCATTCGTCATTTTTATTTTTAATTAAAATTTAATTTTGGTATGCGGTTTTCTTGCATTCTGCATACGTGACCAGCCCATCATAAGCGGGACTTTGTAATCATGACTTCAATACTCTCGCAGTTAGCTTTTTCAAGGACCGACACCTTTGGACATTTGATTCTTAAGAATTGTCTAAGATGTCTCTGTTGCAACTTGTTTAATGCGTTCGAGTGTCGGCAGTACGACACCCAGGTTTCACCAAAATTCAAAAATTAACCCTTAAGTACTAACACCCCGTCTCACAGACGCAACGTATTAGCTGGACATATGACATCTCCCCCCCCTCTCCGCTTCTAATTATCATCCAGCTATGTAATTAATTTCAATACGTATCAAAACAAGTTAAAGACCGGCAGGGCAATTTGCGAAAGTGTGTAGTTTTCGAAATATTTTAGTTCAAACTGTCGATGCCGTCTGACAGACGGAGTGTTAGCGTTAACGTAATTTTTTTTTCTAATTTGTGGAATGAACTAAGCACTTAGTAGCTCAAAACATGTGAAGTATGGCGAGCAAAATTATAAGGATACTCTTCTAAAGCGGTTTGAAGAGACTGGCAGCGATAATATCAAAATAGTGACATAGAATCCGAATGTGGCAAAAATTTTGCTATAGAGAGGGATCATAATTCTGAATTCGAATTAGAAGGTAAAAAACGGTTTTTAACTAATATCTAATGGTATGTAGCTTTGTATGTTTTGTTATAGATGATGAAAATATGGATGTGAATGATCAGTAGACTAATATCGAAGAAAGTGAAGAGAGCAATTTGTTTGAAATGCGCAAAAAAGTGTGTCGGGAACAAGCCCATCTTTAGGCATTGTCATTTTTTTATTCTTTATATTTTATTTTGCTTTGTTGTGCTTAATAGATATCCGTTTATATGCTAAATATAATAATAAATATATTTTTTCATTTTCCTTTCGTTTTTTTTCTATCTCGATGAGAAACAAAGATATGTCAAAAATCCAAAACTAGTAGTTTTATTTCAAAAATATACAACATGTTTGCATAATATCATTCGATATTTTTTTCCTGTAGTTTTAATGCTAATGATTCACCCCACTTACAAAAAATCTGTTAGACACAAACAAAATATGTATTTTTTTTAATGCGTCTCTCAGACGGTCTGTTAGTATAGGCGGGATTATTTCAATATGTTAGTACTTAAGGGTTAAAGGCAATGAGGGTTTAAGCAAATATTTTATTTCAGGCTACACCAAAGATATTTGTATTTTCATATCTTTCACGATGGTTCATTCATTACACGATGTTTCGAGTTGTATGTACCAAGTATCAAGTCGTTATCAAGTATAAACTGAATCTGTTTATACTTGATATAAACTGACTAACTTTTACAAATTGTCAGTTTTGGGTTGGTTGAAGGACTATTAGAGCTATAATTTAAAAATAATTTTACAAGATAGAGAGCGTCCCAAATAGGTAAAAAATATTATAGTTGTATTTTTTTTAAATGAAACACCATGTATATTATTCTATTTTTAGATTCTACGATTGAAATAAAGGTAGATTTGATTAAGGTTTATCACACTTAATCCTTACCGTTTTTGAAATATTTTCAATTATATGAAATTGCAGTAAAAATTTTAAGGCTTCATTTCTCCAAGGGTATCAAAGTTCTTAATACTAAATATTTACTGAAGATTATTTTTTGATGAGATATTGTGTTGCAATAATAAAAATTATACTACCTTATACAAAGTGTCCAAAAATTTATATTAAATAATGATTAGCTTTAAATGGCAATAACTTGTTTAATTTAAATGGAACACCCCGTATATTTCAGGTGAATCAGATGCACAATTTAGTTGTCTATCAAGTAGTATTATACCATTTTTTATCTATCTCTTCAAATTTTCAGAGAAAATCCATTTTATTATAATTTAGACCTCATTTATCACTGTACCCATGGAATATTGACATTTTAGATTTTTTTAAAGCAACATATTTAAAAAATTTACCTGTGGTAAAAATAATAATATTGCAAGCCCATTTGTTTACAAAAAGAAAACTATTAAAATTTTTGTAAGAGTATACCAATTAAATATACCACCATTACTTCAGCCCAAAAATTAGTTAATTGCATTGGTACTTAATTGTTTTAATTAATAAATTATTCTAAATAAATGTGGATTTGACTGAGAAATCAATATAATTAAAAGTTATAAAAATGAACGCCTCTGTTATAAATAAGTATTCGTCAAAAAAATTATATAAAATTTATAACTTTTTATCATACTGCGTTAATACACATACAAAATTCAGTTTTTTAGTATTTGTTGCAATTATTATAAATCAACGTAAACCGTCAATTAATGTAGTTTGAATACTGGGATCATATTAATTGGTCCTCTTTAACAAAAAAAAAATAAACAGTTTTTTTTATTTTTTAATGAAATAAGCGAACTATATCGACAATATTAGTATCTGTACTCTTTGAAAATGTGTTACATCTTTAAAAATCATTTAAAATGTCAATATTCCATGGGTATAGTGATAAATGAGACCTAAATTATTAGAAAATGTATTTTCTACGAAAACTTGAAGAGATAAGTAAAGAATAGCATAATACAATTTGATAGACAATTAAATTGTGCATCTGATTCTAGTAAAATATACAGGGTGTTCTATTTAAATTAAAGAAGTTATTACCGTTTAAAGCTAATAATTATTTAGCTCTGTATAAGGCAGTATTTTGTTTATTATTGCAATACAATATCTGATGAATAAATAAACTTCAGTAAATATTTAGTATCAAAAACTTTGATACCCTTGGAGAAATGAAGCTTAAAAATGTTTACTGCAATTTCATAAAATTGAAAATATTTCAAAAACGGTAAGGTTTAAGTATAATAAACCATAATCAAATTTACGTTTATTTCAATCGTAGAATCTAAAAATAGAATAATATATAGGGTGTTCCATTTAAAAAAATACAACTATAATATTTTTTACTTATTTGGGACACTCTGTATCTCGTAAAAATATTACCAAATATTTTTAAATTGTAGCTCTAATAGTCCATCAACGAACCCAAAACTTACAATTTGTAAAAATATAATTGTTTAGCTGCAATACTCCGTGTCGTATGTGGTGAACAACCCTGTATATGATATAAACTGACTCTGTTATTTTATTTCCGAAAGTCTATAAAAAACTGGAACTTAGATCGAAGTTACTCACCAATCAAAATCAAACTTATTTGAAGTAAAAGTACCATGGTAGTCAAATTTTCCAAAATTCAAAATTAATAGGACCTATAAAGTTTTCATTATTGGTTTAAAATCACAAATTTCCAAACACCCTGCAACTTGACAAAACGCGGAAGTACCCTATTAGGGTACCACAAACTAGCGCGACGACGAAGTACTTTTACCAGCGAGTTTACTGTTACGAGCGACCAGCGAGGCAAGAACCGTACTGCTGCTAAGTCTATGGTTTTCGATAGGGAACTGGTGCAATGTCAGTACTGGCTCGTTGTCTACAACCTTGGAAGGCCGTCTTTTCGACGGCACCACGCTATGGTGGTACCTACTGTAGCGGATGTGCGTATCCGCGTTTCTGCGGGGTAGTGATTTCTAAGGCTTTGTTGGCTTTGTTGTTAAGAATTGCCGCAGTTTTGTTTAAAAGAGAATTTTTTATAATAGTATGTATTACAACTATGACTTTTTTAATTAGACACGTTTATGTTAACATTTATAACTAAGTAATGAGTATTGTAAACTCACTATATTTATTAATAAAATTAGTTAAACAATGTGTATACTGTTCAATTTGCGAAGTTTGAAACTTTCGTCATAATTTTCGGCGCCATATAGCTTTTCACGCATTTCCTGACTTGGTCCATGAGTTGTAAACTTAGATTAAGAATAAAAAGTTGTAAACTATGGAGTGTAGAGATAACTGCAACCTTTACCCTACCTCTACACTCCATATTTTAAACTAACAATAACAAATTTAATAACGAAATATTAAACAATGGCAAATTTATTGTAGCCTACCCGCGGTATACAATGAATAAATACGTCCCCTAATAATATGTCCATGGATCTTATAAGCAGGAATTCCACGGGACAAACGAATGTTGTGACTTGTTTTGCTGCTTTTTGTTCTTTATCTTTCACGATTCCTCTGGAAATTATTCTTTGCAGAGTCGAGCATGAAATTCCTAAAGCCTCCGATGCTCTCCATAAAACACGTGAATATTTTCGATTTAGTTGTAGAATGTAGAATATTTAGGAGGGTAGTTAATCACCGCGACCTTACAGATCTATTGTGTGTTCCCCTTTCTTGAGTTATAACGAGTTGTAACTCATCATACAGTCTCAATGCTTTAACAAAAGCCAGTATCTGAGACGGCTCCACAGAGACCAGCTCTCCATTCTCGACATCAGCCGTACCAAAGTTCATGGCACGAATGGTCGTCGTCTCGGGGCACTCAGTGATAAGGTGTTCTAGTATTTTCCTATTTTCCCCACAGAATCTACATTCGCCGTTGTTTCTCATCTTCAGCCTATACTGAGATGTTCGTGGAGGAGACAGTGTCCTGTTAGAAACCCCGTGACAATCCGAAGATTGTTTTTACTCGAATCTAGGAAAACCTTTGATTTTTCCCGGTCGTAAGTTCTGAGGAACTTTTTCGAGTGTCTTAGACCATTGGAAGTGATAAAAATCCTCTTCCGGGAAAAAAAATTTCGGGAAACTATCGGAGTCGTTAAAATTTAACTTTGACAGTCGGCGATCCGTATTGTTCGATTTCGGTGGGTAATACAAATACGATGTTTGCCTTTTTCTATTCGTTCACTTTAGACAAGGAAGTATGACCCTTTATACGTAATGAAGATTAAGTTAGGTACGTTGTAAGAAATATAATGGACTTATAGTCTAAAAGCTGGCTACATAAAAAAACCTTATCATCGTTGCATGGCTAATTTTTTGTGTGAAGTATCCTTTTGTGTAGCCATTACGAAATAGTCATGTCTGTCAGCGCGAACCCGGGGCTTAAAGCGGGGGCGGCCAATCGAAAGGGTGAAATTTTGATACTAAAATTATTATAAGGTACACGAGTTATAATTGCGAAAATAGTTTTTATTTATTATTAAGAAACGTGGAAAATTGTTGGCAGACATTTTTCTAGTCGCTAAAATGCCGACAGACAACGCGAAAGAGGCATGAAATTTTAAAAATGATTAAAAAATTAAATTTGAAGAATAAAAAAAATTATGGCATACATGCATGCCGATTGGTGGAATGACATATTTATTTATTTTAAAAGCCGTATGCAAACGGGCAGATAAATAAAGAGATCGTGGCTAAATCAGCTGCAGAGAGGAACGCTAGCGCTTTCAGGGAACGCTCGCCGCCTCATCCATTTAAGTATAGATAAATCATTATACCATTATATTATATATATTTTTTTATTGTTTCAAAACAGATATCATACTACTCTGTCTCACTATTTGTATCATTGACTCATCGTAATGCAGATCCCCGCTCTCGCAAACGAGTCTAACTCTGAGTCGATATCTGCACCGTAAAATATTTGTAGACTTACACTTATGTTTCAATTGATAACGCGGCCAGCGTTTCCTGAAAACGCTTATACAGGGTGAGTCTTAAATAAGTGAAAATACTTTTAAGGGTGATATATTTCAACCCCAGGAACACGTCTATGTGATTTTTTTTTCTCGCAAAAAATGATGTAGAAAATCGTGCATTATTTTTAAATTTTTATAATTATTTCTTAACCTACCATGCTTACGGCTTTACTTAAAATAAAGTCCTCCTATTATGTGTGTCACCTCACTAAGGGATAGAAATGGCAATGAAAAAGCAAACGATCCAGCTAGAAAAAGAGCAAACACTCCACTAACTGGACCAGAACCGTTCTGCTTCCGTAACCTGAAATGGGAATCCTCCAAAGGTCTAAGATACTCGAAGAAATTTCTCAAAGCTTACGACCGACAAAAATCAAAGATTTTCTTGGATTTAAGTAAGAACAATCTTGGGATTGTCACGGGTATTTTAACAGGACACTGTCTTCTCAACGAACACCTCAGTAGTAGAATGCAGCTTCTGTAGGGAAAATGGGGAAACGTAAAAACCGTAAACGGAAAATGGAGAACACCTCAACACTGAGTGCGCCAAGACGACAACCATTTGCACCATAAACTTTGGTACGATTAATGTCGGAGATGAAGAACTAGCCCCTGTGAAGCCGTCTCAAATACTGGCTTTTGTCAAAGCCCCGAGACTGTGTGATGAGTTATAACTCGTTATAGCACAAGAAAGTGGGACACACAATAGATTCCTACAGATTCTACATTCAACAACACTTCTGTTAAATTAAAAAAAAAACAGCTTCGTCTGTTAGAACATCGCTATCTGTGTGGCAACAAGGTCGAAAGTGCAGAAAAAGAGGCGCGTGGCAAGATTTTTGGGTGGAAATGACGTCAGCAGCGACCATATTGTCTTTCACGGAGCGTCTCGGCGTCCTATTAATTAGGAATTAAAAGTCGGGCGGTCCTGAGACAATTTCAAACCCGCAAGAAAGAGTTTTTGCGCGAAACTATTCATAGACAGGCACGAGTGCATTTAATTCAGTACTTCCGAAAGATTACTAGAAGGAAAATTGAATAGCACTGTCTTTTGTCGCTCCAGAAATAATAGAAACTTAGAAAAAATTAAAAAGAAATTAACTATTTTACACAATGTTTAAAATAACTACATTTCTATAACTTTCAGCTCTTTGAACGGATTGAATTATGAACAGGATCAAAACTTTTTAACGAGGTGTAACTTAAAAAAAAGACGGTTTTCTACTATTACAAGAAAAAAATATAAGATCACTTTTTATTAAGAACTAGCTTCGTAGATTTCATTCCTAAATATATTTCTGGGTTACAAATTAGAGCGGTTCACAGAATTATATCCCAAACCTGAACATTTCTTCTAAGTATTTTACAAATTGGAGGGACATCCGATCTTTTGATCGCAATATCTGAAAATTTTTGAAACGTTAGTCGGTATTACAGGATAATCAAATTCATGTTCATGTAAAGAATCATTGAGAAATTTATACCAGTAAACACTGAAATCAAATAGTTTAGCCCAGTCAAATTAGAGAAATCGGTGGAAAAAAATCCCACAGTTTTGAAAATGGTTTTAAATGATTTCTCTAGACTTGGGCTGATATGTGTCAAAAGTCCTCGAAGATAGACGATGAGCTCGTGGAGAGGAGAGGAAATGGAAATGGAAATGTCACTTTTATGACGTTTTAGCTTATATCTCTGAAAATATGACACCTACGAAAAAGTACCCTATACAGAAAATTGAAGATCAGAAAATTCTCTACAAAATTGCGTGAATGAATATTTTTCACAGGTATAACCTTTAAGAGTTACAGGGTTGACAAAATTAACACTATTTCTCATATTGTATTTTCGTATTTAAAATCGAATTAAAGTCTAAATTTAACCTTTCATAATATTAATGGTAATATTAAGGGGTCCTTATGTTATCTTTCAAGTCTTCTTTGCCTCGTTACTTTTTGTCTTCCGTTGGAGAGTGCACACAGGACTTATCAAACAAACTTATCTGCAAGTTAAAGATTAATGCATGCTTTCTTTACGGTAAAAAAAGTATACCACAGCATGTAGCGCCTGGTAGTTGTATATTATGATGATATTCTACATCATTTCTTCCTGTAGGTACAGTTAACGTGAGTGTGCGTGAGTGTAATATTTAAAGTACGTCTGCTGGATCTGTGTCTATGAAAGGAACGCGGACAAAAAACATTTAAATAAATAGCAATATATTTTATACGTCGACTTGACGAGTACGTCACCGCAAATCGCTCCGCCCACTCATTTTATTGGCTACTTACAAATTTGTCGAATTTTTATTGATGGGACGCGTTGTCTAATTTTTTAGGAAAAACATCGAGAGAATATCGTTTCCCCTCTCACGGATACCCCGTAGCTACAAAACGGACAGACGTACTGTACGTATTTGCACTACCCAACCCATTTCGCCAATATAGTATCAGTCTTCCCTGCATATGAATGTAATTTTGTAATCATAATCTGTTTCCTTTCGAGCCTTCCCAAATACCCCCAATTTTTTCTACGTACTAAATACTAGGAACTAACAATAATCATTCTAGTGAAAGTTTGAAACACCCTGTGAAATATGTTAACACAGCAAGGAATTTAAAAAGCATTTTTTTGTCTAGGTGCATCCTTTCTCAATAGTTTGTTTTTTGGTTCATCTCAATAGCTTTATTTTTATTGAGATATTCGGTTTTGAAAAAAAACAATAACATTTTTTTCGTCATTTTTAGGTTAAAACTATGACTTCTTCAAAAGCGAATAACTCCAAAAAAAATAGCTAATGAGATGAAACAAAAAAATAAACCATCGAGAAAGGATGCCCCTAGA